CCTTGGGTTACATTAGATTGCCTTGGGTTACATTAAATTTCTTTAGAGTGCAATAAATTGTGTTGAAACGCAATAGATCGTGTTAGAACGCACTAGATCACGTTAGAACGCACTAGATCACGTTAGAATGCAACAGATCGTGTTACAACGCAATAGATCGTGTTAGAACGCAATAGATCGTGTTAGAACGCAATAGATCGTGTTAGAACGCAATAGATCGTGTTAGAACGCAATAGATTGTGTTAGAACGCAATAGATTGTGTTAGAACGCAATAGATCGTGTTAGAACGCAATAGATCGTGTTAGAACGCAATAGATCGTGTTAAACGCAATATATCATGTAAGAACGCAATAGATCGCGTTAGAACGCGATAGATGGTGTTAGAACACAATAGATGGTGTTAGAACGCAATAGATCGTGTAAGAACGAAATAGATGGTGTTAGAACGCAATACATTGTGTTAGAACGCAATAGATTGTGTTAGAACGCAATAGATCGCGTTAGAACGCAATATATCACGTAAGAACGCAATAGATCGCGTTAGAACGCGATAGATGGTGTTAGAACACAATAGATTGCGTTAGAACGCAATAGATGGTGTTAGAACGCAATAGGTCGCGTTGGAACGCAATAGATGGGGCTAGAGCGCAATAGATCGCGTTAGAAAACAATAGATCGCGTTAGAGCACAATAGATCGCGTTAGAACACAATAGACCGCGATAGAACACAATAGAACGCAATAGATCGCGTTAAAATGCAATAAATCGCACTAAGATGCAATAGATCATGTTATAATGTAATAGATCGCGTTAAAATGCCATAGGTCGCGTTAAAATGCCATAGGTCGCGTTAAAATGCCATAGGTCACGTTAGAATGCAATAGATCTAGTAAGAACGCAATATATCGCGTTACATCGCGTTAGAACGCAATACATTCCATTAGAACGCAATAGATCACGTTAGAACACGTTAGAACACAATAGATTGCGGTAGAACACAATAGATTGTGTTTGAATGCTATAGATTACGTTAGAACGCAATAGATCGCGTTAAAACACAATAGATCGCGTTAAAACACAATAGATCGCGTTAGAACGCTATAGATCGCGTTAGACCGCGGTAGAACGCTATAGATCGTGGTAGAATGCAATAGATCACGTTAGAACACAATAGATCATGTTAGAACACGATAGATCGCGTTAGAACACAATGATCGGTCATGGCTGCCCGAGCCATAGTTTATGATCGGCCATGGACGCCAATTTAAGGTCGAGGTGGCTAATGGAGAGCTTGAAAAGACGCCGATATTTCGAGCTGAAAGGCCCTTCTTTACAGCCTGGTTCAGTAGTTGGACTTAACAATGAAAATGCTAGTCATTAATAATGAGATAACCTTAAGTCTATGTACATTATATTCATACCATGTTTTTCTTAGTTTTGTTTCGTCTCTGTCTGTCTGTCATCAAAAATTCAAACCTTAATTTAGAGCACTTCTGAAGATCCTAGAAACTTGAAATTTGGCATGCATGCTTATGTTGCCTAACAATTCAAGATTTGAATTGTTAGGCAGCATACATAACTTGAATGTTGTTAAATTTGCGCTATGCTGCAAACTTAACATACTTGAAGCCTAAATTGTTAGGCAACATACATGTTAGGCTTCATTACATAACACTCTACATAACTTTAATGTTATGTAAGAGTTGATGTTTTTCTTTCTTGTCCATTAAGAAAACATGGTTTTTAGAAATTTTTTTATTTGTTTTATTTCATTGTTTTTAGTTTTGTAACCACCAGAAAAATGTTTTTAAAAATGTTTTTTTTATATATATTTATTCATATGCAAGAAACCTCACGAATAATGCATTAATGGTTTTATTTTTCAAACCAGCGGTGCCTTGGGTTTCTTTACTAATGAACCACCGCTTCACCTCAGATACATAAAAATTGTGCGTAAACAAATGCAAGCCTTCCCTAAAATACCAAGGTCACACCTTACTCTTACCCAGAACTGCTTACTAAGTTTTAAATACTACATGACCAGAATTACAAAATCTCAACTCTATTTAATAAATGGCGACTTGCATTTGACAAATGCAAGCCACTCACAAATGTGATTCGCGAATTTCATATTCTCCCAGGAATATCCAATGAATACCAGTTACAAAGTGAAAAAGTAAAACTACGCAAGTGCACCTCTGTTGTTCACGAGCGTACGGTACTGCAAATTTAAGCGTAACACATCCCTGAATCATTCATCACAGAGTAAACTTCAACAAATAAAATGATCTAAATGTAAAAATCAAACTTGTGAATAAAGTCATGAAAAGTACAAGAATTGGCAACAGGCCATGGGCCTATTTCTTCAGTGCCACTGCCAACACTTTGATTCTATTCTATGAAGTGATGTGACTATTTTTTCAAATTTGCAGTGTAGGTGTATTTTGACATGGCATCATCTAGAATGGGAAATTTTAAAAGAGTATCAAGATTCAGATGCATTAAATGAAAAATATAATATGCCTACTTTATTTACGGTATTTAATTTCATGAATGAGGAATGTGGATGAGCATTCTTTCAACTAGGTAGCATTTCATAATTAAATCACAAACAAGAACTCGCTAGAGCCTTTAGCAGATGTTTAGATCATAGCATTATTTTCTGACTACCGCTGCATTCTCAAGTTGATAAGTTCTATGACTGACCATTAGACTCGTGCCTGTCATCCAAGACAACCAAAAATTATATCCAAACTTCAGATATTCCAATAAAAAATTGCACTCAAACCATTTTCTCGCGTCTATGTACTACATTTTTTGTGCATAATAATCTTGTTCATTAATTATAGGGCCAATAGATTTTTACCATTTTTATTCAGAAGTATCTTAGTGACGTGAAATTAACCTCAACATCCATGATAATTAAATCTTGGGCTAGCACAGTTCATTTATTTAAGTACAAACCATTTGCCATTGAGCTGCCCATTCAAACCTGTAATTCACAGTAAAAATAAAATCTCACATGTCATTTATAAGTCATTTATTAGCAAATGAAAATTGTAAAAACAAATTTCTCATTGATTCATATTAAAGCGTGTGATCTGATTTGCAACATAATTATACATGTATGAATTTTCCCAGTGATATGAATATCATTGATGGAATATGCGCGTGTTACAACAACACATAAATATGAACAGAATACTGAAAACAAAAAGTATTAAAGTACTAAAAAAAATTTTATGTCTGTTTAAGCAAAATATGGCACTTGATATTATCAAGCTTTTCATTATAGTATCTGATACAGAAATCTCATCATTTAAGGGGAGTGTCTACCCCAAAAAATTATCTTGGCTATTTACAAACAGATCACTCTGAAACTTGGTACACATATGTAAAATGGAAAAAAACTCGCAGTTTATTCCTGTGAATTTTTTGAAAAAAATGGAAGAAAACGTGAAATTCTTAGAAAACGGTCAAAAAAGGGGGTACTTTTGAAATCTATCTCCTCCTAGGATTTTCAAGCTACAACATCGAGACACATCATTTGATGCGTAAAGACCATATCTATAAAACTGTATTGGCGTTTTTTGAAATTTTTATTTTTGTGGGTGTGGGACCATTTTTCGTAAATTTTTCGGAAATTTTTCGATTTTTTCCCCACTTTTTACTGAATAAAATCCAAACTATAAAGAAATTAGAAGAACGCAAAGGCAACTTTGTAGATCTTTTATTTGCAAATCAAATGATATATGTCTCATTGTTGTAGCTTCCAAACTCTAGGAGGAGATAGGTTTTCCGTGACAATAAGTGTGAATGTTGAGGAGAGCCCCGCGTGGACAGTCCTGCGCGCACCTCAATATGCGCTCAATGTAGCATAGATACCAAACTAAACCTTTCTGGAGCTTGATTCCACTCAAGGATGATGGGAGCAACTACATGCGCATCTCTCCCTACAAAGCCCGGAGGCACACTGAGTCAGACCTCACAAAAACACTATATTTGTAGTGGTGGACAGCAAATCATCTCATATCTAATTACTGAAAGAACTCCCCATTTCATGAAATGTCGTGAAATCATAAATCAACATAGAGAGATGGCAGTGGTACTGTTGGATAGGGCAGAATGTCAGCTTTAAAATTAGTATAAAAACCGAAAAAGTAAAAATTTTCAATTTTAGGGTAGACGCTCCCCTTAACAACATTTTGTAATATATCATTCATTCTTGTCATGATTCTAATAGAAAAATTCTTAAATTTTGATAGCTTAACTCAAATATTTCTGCAAACAAAATAAGTTCAGAACTAAGGGTTTGAAATAAGTACTTATATTATCAGTCTGCTTACATCACACGTTTGCAAGGAATTTAAAAGCAAAGAAAATGCCAAACCATTTCAACATATTGATGTTGAAAATGCTTTGGAGTGTGAAACTTCTACATCCAGGTTTCTGAACAAAAGCTATCATTCAAACTTGCTTCTCGGCAAGCCCCCTTATTCTTCCATGTGCCTAGGTACATGCTGAACAGTGCAATGTGGCTGTATCTGAGAGTGATTTTAGTAGACTTGGTTCCACTTCTGGCAGTTCAGATTTGAGGATTTTGAAGTCTCTACATATCTTCAAACAAAAATCATGTCACAATAATGCATTCAGTTCCTATCATCTTGAATTAGTGAATTGCTAGTCTTTTAGGTTTTGGCATTTTTTCTTGAGTTTTAATCTTTTCATTTCTTCTATTACTCTGTGTTTTGCTAGTCCTGGTTTTTGATTTAAGGTGGTTTTGAGTTTTAAGTTTTTTAGGTTTTAATGCCTGACTTAGAATTTTGAATTATAAAATGATTGTATTCATTTTTAGATTTTCAAACTGATGATGGAGCTGGTCTCCCAATACATTTTCAAAATCGATATTGTGAATTTGCTGGGCATTTTCTTTGCTTTTAAATTTCTTAACTGTTTTAAAATATGATATGATGTTTTATATAAATTTTTTGATTTTCAGATTAAGGTATTTAAGATCAGTCAGACATGGATTTCCAGCATCGAGCTGGAGGCAAGACTGGTGGGGGTGGACAGGCTTCATGGAGCGAGAGCAACAAGGACAGACGGGAGCGTCTCAGGCAGTTGGCCCTTGAGACCATTGACCTGAACAAAGACCCTTACTTTATGAAAAACCATCTGGGTTCATATGAGTGTAAATTATGTCTCACTTTACACAACAATGAAGGAAGCTACTTGGCTCACACTCAGGTTTGTGGTTTTTAAGTTTGTGATCCTGAAAAATTTGATGCATCATTACCAAGTTCTGTTGATAGGCAATAGAATGATGAATGTTGTTGATTTGTTTTTCTCTAATTTGAAAATGTATTCAAAATTAGCTGGTCAGCTCAGCATGGCTAGAGCTCAATACCATCAAACAGGGTAATAAGAGACGGTTTTGAGTGTTTTTCCTTAATAACTTCTCACCAAGAATCATTTCATAAACGAGATTGAGCTCATTTGAAAGGTATTTGCAAGGACTATTGTATGGCATCTCTGAAAAATTCCATATTCTCTGAAAAATTCCATTCCATAAAATTCTACAATCTATGCTTCTTCATTTTCCATCCCATTTTAATATTCCCATGTACTGCAATGATGCAAGTGTAGTCAGAACATCTTGACATGACCTGGTGTCATTTTCTTTAGCTTATCCTTCTCTATTGGAACATTACAGCTGCAATGAACTCTTATCATTTGTTTTTATTAATTTATTCTGCCACTTGCACAGGGCAAGAAGCACCAGACCAACTTGGCTAGACGCGCCGCAAAAGAAGCAAAGGAAGCACCAACGCAGCCCGCCCCTGAGAAGGCTCGAGTGGAGCTTAAAAAATTTGTCAAGATTGGTCGCCCTGGCTATCGTGTTACCAAACAAAGAGATCCTGAGAATGGGCAGCAGAGCTTGCTTTTTCAGGTTTGGTGAATATATATATATATATATATATTTTTTTTCAAATTCACTCACGAATGTATCAGTCTTACAAACAAAAAGGCATTTTTTTAAGTATAACCCAGACTACGTTCACATGATTTCAAGATATGCCTCCTGTTTTATAACATCCTGCCTGTCTGATTCTATATATGGTTGCTGGCGAGAAAGCATTTTCTAATTATTTTTTATTTAGGCAGCGTGCCCAGTTGGTCATTTGAATATTCCATTTCCATGATCATTTTCCGGCGCAGCATTTTTATAGTCATGATTTATTATCTATTAAAGACCACCCAAGAGGTTTTACTAGACCACCCGAGAGGTTTTGGTTTTACTAGACCACTCGAGGGGTTTTACTAGACCACTCGAAGGGTTTTTCTAGACCATCTGAAAGGTTTTACTAGACCACCTGAGAGGTTTTGGTTTTACTAGACGACTCGAAGTGTTTTAACTAGACTATCCGAAAGGTTTTACTAGACCACCCGAGAGGTTTTGGTTTTACTAGACCACTCGAGGGGTTTTGGTTTTACTAGACCACCCGAAAGGTTTTACTAGACCGCCCGAGAGGTTTTGGTTTTACTAGACCACTCGAGGGGTTTGGTTTTACTATACCACCCGAGAGGTTGAAAATATTATTTATTTTTATTTCCCTATTTATTTCTTTAGTCTATTTTATTAGACTTGTGGGGTATTCATTTTATCCTCGGTATGTACCAAAATATTACTCACTGAAAAAGCTTGAGCTATGAATGGTACCAAGTAAACCAAACTTGTTATATGCTAATCGAGCTGTAGACATGTGACAGTATTTCTTAATATGCCAGTGTTCCATACACTAAATTATACTAGGATATATTTAATGTATTTTAAGTATTGATGGACCATTTTGTCCGCTATTGCCATTACATGTTGAGGTATTGCGTCAGGTGGACTACCCCGAGATCGGCGAAGGCATCGCCCCGCGCCACCGCTTCATGTCGGCCTACGAGCAGAAGGTTGAGCCGCCCGACCGCAAGTGGCAGTACCTGCTCTTTGCTGCCGAGCCTTACGAGACCATCGCCTTCAAGGTACTCTTCGTCCCCTTGATTATTAGCATGCTATATTCTTGGGAAAAATATAAAAATATCAAATGTTGAGGCGCATCATCATTCATCATGTGACAATATAATTTCTTCTGCTGATTCCGTTGCATATTTATTTCACTTTCCGTCAGAATTTTTGGGTTGAATTGCGGGTTTTGGTTTCGACACGTTCTGATTAACTTCGCATGTAAATTCATCCAGTTGATATGAACTCAGATAATGAATGTCTGATACATACTACTATGCTATAAAAATAAAATTAAATCTCCTGAATTTCAGAGCAAGAGTTCCGCCTGGTTATCAATGCAACAATCTTCAATATTCTCCATTAAGGAGTTGTCTAGATTCAAGCCCCATGGGGGAGTTTCGTTGGGTATATTTAGTTAGTCGTTTGCTTAGTTTGTTGCTAGTGCTATTTATCTCTACACTTTTTTTTAAATTCATAGTTTGTAATAAAAATGTCAATGTTACAGGTGCCGAGTCGGGAGGTGGACAAAGGTGAGAATAGGTTCTGGACGCTATGGAACAAGGAGACCAAGCAGTTCTTCCTGCAGTTCTCCTTCAAGATCGACCCTAAGGCCAAGCTCGTCCCTCCCGGTCCCCCTCCCCCCATCACCATTTCCTCCTCAGGGGGTCCTGGACACCCTCCGCCGGCTGCATCCCCCATGTTGCCTCGACCACCTCCCCCTCATGGTCCACCCCCATCGATCCTCCCTCCTGGGGGACCTTTGGGTCCACCACCCGCCATGCCCCCGCGGCCGCCGATGTCCAGACCGCTCTCAGGCCCGCCCCCACCCCCGCCTCCCCACATGCAAGGTCCTCCCAGGTTCAGCGGTCCATCCAGCAGTCCGTATGGGCCACCGCCCCCCAACTCCGGGGGACAAGGCGCTCCTCGTTTCCCTTCTGGCCCGCCTCGTCCCCCTGGCATGAGGCCCCCACCTCTGCCGCCTGGTATGGCCCCTCCTCCACCCAACCTAAACAAGGGGCCTCCTCCTCCTCCGGGAAGTCTGCCTCCTCCCCCACCTCCCTTCAACCCCGCACCTCCCCCTCCGCCTTCAAGTGTCAACAGTGGTGGGGGAGCTCAGCCCCCTCTTCCCCCAGGCTCCAACAAGTGAACATTTTCTCTGCTTTTTTTTCAGTAACCTGGTTAATGAAACTCATCGGCTTTCTTTGGTCGCAGAATTCAGGCTGCAAACAAATGGTTCTCTTTGAGTCTTGAATTTTTCAGTCGCGGTGATCGGAAGAAATTCCAACTGTCTCTGATTTTTATACCATACTCTTCTCTCCTGGTCAGGTTTAGCTTCTATGTTGACTCTTTGAATGCTGTAAGTGAATAGACCTGAATAATAAAGGGGGCAAAGCTTACACGCATTTCTACGTTTAATTAAAGAATCACAGACGAATTTGTAGAAGACATCTCGAAAAATTCCACATAACTGAAAACACGAAATGCTCGGCCATCACATCGAATATATTGACCGCTTCTAATGTCATACTTCACTTCCATTTTCACGAATATACATTTGCCTACAATGTAGGAGCTGGGTTCTATCTTTTCTAAATTATTACCTTCAAACGTCAGCAATGTGAGCCAATGGAAGCGTCTTGTCCTTTGATTTGTGTCTGAATAAAAGGCAAATAAAAATTTTCAAAAGAAATCCATTTTATTTACCTTAAAAATGAGATTTTCAGTCTAGTAAGGACCGACAAAAACGTACGTTTAGCTGATTTAATTATCTATACTTATTTCCACTGTAAGCAAGCTGAAGAAGGCAAAAAATACTGCAATTTTAATGTTTACTTGAATTTGCGCACTCGTCTTGCTCGCCCGCATGAACGACTGCAGGAAGTCTAGAAAACTTTTCAACACAATATGAAATACTTCATCAAATACAAGTTAAACGCACTTATCCTTACCAGTACCCATCTACAAAACTTAAGCTAGTCGCAGTTATACCACCTGAAAATTATGCATGCACCTGGGGGAATCTCAACTTCGAGCTGAAATTTCAGTTCCGGACTACACAAGATAGAGACGATACATCAGTGGTTCCTAATCTGCGGTCCCGGACTACAATTGCTTCGCTACCTTCCCAGTGAGACGCGAATACGATTTCTTGTTAGGTATATTTTACTTCCAGAAAATGTTACAGTATACCGCCCAACGCAAGATGATCTGGCAACGATTCGCAACCGTTGCCGGACGCAACGAATTTAGTCCCAGTGACCTACGGTTTACATAATGAAATTCAATTACTTGATGACTAATATCTTGAGCGCATTGAAAGTTATTTATAGCTGAACACACAATGAAAGCTTATGTGTAGTATTAGTGATGAGGTCCTGTGCTGCCGCAGAGGAGCTAAAAGTCGTATTCAATCACAAGATTAGGAAATACTGATGCATACATTGGAATTTCAAGGAATAGGATGCACAGAGCTGCACTAATTCTACAACCTGGAAAGTGACAGTCTTGAACAAGATTCACCTCAAAAAATTTCACGACTAAGGACGTCTAAAGGCATCTGATTCAATTATAAAGATGGAATGATAAAGGACGGCGGAAAAAGAACGAGTGAGAATTATCAACACAATTTTAAAAAATAATTACAATGAAAGTGCATAGCTATCCTCAAGTTCAGAGTTAGCTAATTCTAAGCTACCTAGCATTTCTGAGCTAGGGTGACAGGCAAGAGTGGCACTACTCAATACCGACTCGTGACGTTATTAATACTGGTAAAACATTACCATATAAACTCATTACCACTAAGCCGTTCCTTCGTTGAAACTTCACAGTCGACAACCTATTAGTAATTCCCAAGCATATGTTAGTCAGTCTACAAATATCGATGTAAATTCAAGCAAAATTAACTAATTCTGTACTAGGAAAGATGGCGATGAGGTTTTATTTCTATCATTCCAGGCACTAGATGCACAGAAACAATCGTCACGTCAGTTCAGCAGCCGGTGGCCAGCTCGTTAGCAACCACTTCTAACGACTGCAAGTTTCGAATTAAACGTAACGTGATTACGAGTAATTTCTAGAATGTACATTACAAACGACCGAATGTACTGTAATGCTAAGGGCCAGCAGGGTTTGCATCGTAATTTATAAAATATAAATTTAATGTCGGACATGGATTGCACAAGCGTTTGAATGAAATATCAATAGCTTTAGTGAGATTACTCGAAAAGACCTTGATAGCAAATATTGTCTCTAACGAAACTGGACTTAGAGAAGCTACCGAGAAATCAAATACTACATTGATATCTCTAAAGAGAATTAGAATACAAGAAGGTAGTTCTGTTGAGATAAAAATAAATTGCTCGACATTTATTGATTTGTGGCATGCATAGCGACGGAAAGAATTACTGTAGATAAATATTGAGTTTTAAATCCACAACAAAGAAGAATGTGATCACTAAGTAGGTGGTCATTCACCCATTAGTGGCAGGGTTGTGTGCGACGGATGTAGTCTATTAACCTTTTATCTATTGGAAAAATTTCAGCCGATGATAAAAGGAGTCCTCTGTGCCTGAATTAGCCAAAGCCTGTATAAATTCATCATGATCGGTATTTAAAGCAGTGGCATTAAGTTTGTTTCACTGAGAGAAAAATGAACAGAGAATTAAGGCTAAATGTTTGCTTAAGTTAGGAGCTTAAAGTTATAGAAAGACAGAAGCGCCGACTAGTAAACTATGGATAGCTGCAGCACATCCCTTATGCAATTCAACGAGCAACCGAGAGCGCAAAATTTGCTACATCCTGTAATGGCACAAAAGAAAATAGAGGCGAGCAAGTTGTATGACTGCAATATTTGATAAACTACGGAAAAATATAACCGACAATACCTATATATGAAAAGAACTAAACAAATGAATGGCAAGTAAATACAAATGAAATCATAACTTAGGTTCACTCAGAACGACTTTCAATTAGACGCTCGAGAATGTGCGGTTATGCGTAGTGCAAAATAAACGTGTGCATGTTGAACATGAGAAAATTACATTTCGAGAATGGCTTAGGCAGTGATAGTAGCGAGTAATCAATCCGATTTCCAAGCAATCATCTCTTAACATAAACAACGTATTACAAATGTAAATAAGAAAAGAACAAGCTAAGACCTTAAGTACTAACATCTAATTACGTAAGGTTACAGGCGACAAAATATTTGATTAGCACATGGCATACTGACATCCTAATAGCTAGACAACAAACATAAAAAGCAGAACCTTTTTTCGTGGGATCGCCATTTGCTTAAAATACTCTTTCTCTCGCGTCTTGATCGACGGCATTTAGGAAAAAAGATTTATTTTTAAACTGGACTTGGAAAAGTTGACATCATTGGAGAGGTAAAGCTGAGATTTATCTTTAACTTAGTGAGAAAAGGTTTGAATTCATAGAGGTCAAATATGTGTGACATCAATGTGACCACACTGCCTAAGCAATGACAAAAAACTTTTCAACCTCACACATGTCAAACACATAATTAATAATGCGTGGAGATGTAGCGTCACAGTGGCTGACACATGAGCAATTTGAATTGAACGAGTAGAGAGTAGGCCATTATCATCGCTTGCTTTGGGCCTAAAAGCTGTCAACTGAGATATTCAATAGTAAACTACAAAAGGATTCACATCAAAACATTGAGCTTCAAGACACATGGTCTCATGAGGAAGAAATTCGATATCGCAACAACGCGATGTATTTTAATAAAACGCTTCCTTTTGTACAGGCATGGAAACGTTTTACCTGCATCAGCAGTTAAACGCAGCACGAGCACATAAAACAGTAGTTCCCAAACTTTTGCAGGCTGGCTCCCCAGTAAATTCCTAGCGACCACTTTCGACATGCACATAATATTCAAGAAGCCCCCCTCTAATACGCACAAAAACCGCAGATTTTGAATATTTTCAAAAATCTAGAATAGAAACCCAGGAGAGGTTAAAAAACAGATCTGGATGGAAAACCCATCGCTGGGAGCCGTGTGCTGCACGTGTTGTGTACAAATCATCAAACAAACGTTCGAACTTCTGACTTTGACTTCGGACTGCAGCCCCTCCTTCCTCACCGCCTTCCAGATCTTTCGGGGGGGGGGGGGGGGCGGTACCGCCCACTTTGGGAAACACTGACTTGAAGCATCAGCACCATGAATACATAAAAAATTGTGGACACTCGAGTTAAAAAAATGTTGTAGTGCTATTCAAATTACGGAACTGTCGCGACTTCGTACGGGATATTCACTTTAAGCAAATAGAACAACCGTTATGATATTCTTATGGGTGATGGAAATACTAGGTCATGTCCGTGCGTCTCTTTGCGAGACTCCATCACACATGTCAATGATTTGTTTGAATCATTACAAGGTTCAGGATTACGTTTAGCATAATCATTACAATAAATGGTACTTATCAATTAAAATAAAAAGATGTGATTTACAAAAAGCCGCGAAACATACAGAAAACTTTTCTTCAAGTTATAGATGCCAACTGAAGATTATTCTAATTTTAAAAATGAGATAACAAAAAATTTTTGTTTTTTTTTATGGACTTCATGCAGGTAGAAAAATGGTTGAAATTCACGCAAAAATAAATCACATTTGAAGGAAAGAATTACGTCCTTATGACTAGAGAGTTGATTTATATTGCGACATGGAGAACAAAAAAATATGTTTTTCAAGAAGTTTTTAAAAAACAAATTAAATAGGCATACAGAGTACTAGAAACAACAACGAGATTCTCATATTGCAAACACTTGGCGTTGAGAATCAGGGAAGTTTGGAACCATTTACCACACCGAACAATTTACATATTATTCATGCGTTATTCGTACCATAAGTTAAGGAAATACGGTATAGATAAAAAAGTATGCAGAACACAGCACACAAATGCAATGAAATACAAAGCAGTACACACATTTGTCGTGTATTTCCACACGCTATGTAAAGAAAAAATTAAGCCACAAGTATTTAGTATTGAACTGCCCATCATCTGCTGATTGATCCAAAAGTTGCTTTTACCGTCTTGAAAATGTGAAGATTTTCTTCAATAACTAAAAACAACAGCAATTCTACCATTTGACCACTACTTGATAACTTTGAGAAACCTTTTAGGAGTTCTGCAGGAATAGTTTGCTTGCTTCATGCTAAACGTTCAGTTTAAATAAGGATGATCTGCCAGCATTATACACGGTGGGTGGGGGTGGTGTGATGGATGAAGTTCATCACTAAAGTCAGTAAAGGTTAACATTGAAGCTCTGTTTTGTGTTACTCAAATACTCAAGCATTAGTTGTATAAATTTCCTCAGAAGTAAAACCTTTTTCACGTGATCTATTAATGAGACAAGGATCCTAAGGCTAGAAGCACTGGAATATCAAGTATACAAGCAAAATACTTAAACATCTCTCATAATTTTATGGAAAATTTATGTCATATAATGAGTACCTAGAAAAATACCAGCTGACTGATCTTAAAATAGTTCAAAATCTCTCATTTTGTAAGAGGAATACTGATGGAGAAATGAGTACTTAGCGGTCATCACATTTAAATAATAAATCACGCATTTTACGAAAATACCCAGCAGTATAATACTTCAGCCAAAAAAAATTATATCTTTCAAGACGAAATAGTTATAAAATCAAGATATTTTAGCAGCACCGAAAATCGGAATTATTTTATGAGTAACACAGATACAGAGTTTATAATGGTAGGTATGAGATAAGTACCTACTTAAATAAAATGAGTAAAAAGCAGAATAAAAAACGTACGCCTAAGAATGAGAAAAAAATGATAAAATAATATGATAAGAGAGCTGACGTGCGCGATGAGGTATCCACAATACCGCAGATCAGACCAGCGCAGCGTGATGAGGCAGAGTGAGGTTAACCGCCTCACTGTGGATGTCGTGAGCGTGACACACCAACTCAAGATGCTCACACTCGCCGCTTAAACCTGCACAGCACACACACGGTGAGACATTTGGCCACTGCCTCGAATATCTGCATCACTTGATGAGAAAATCATCACATGTCACTCAACGTCGCAGGCATACACCACGGTATGAGATGCCAGCAAACTTGTTACCAGCCCTGATTGTCGTCATGGAAATGCTCGAGGTGAATCAAAGGGAAGTCCAGAAAATGTTATGCCTGCGGGAGCCTGAGTAATATTTTACCGGAATGGTTTGCAATGGCCCTCTGGCGCCGTCTCTTCTTCTTAGCAAGTGCGCTGTGGTGAAATATCCAGACCAGAGCTGCTAGGTTGCAGCTTATAAGTACTATTATGACCCCAACCAGCCAGCCTCTGCTTCGCTCCCACGCTCCTGCAAGATTTATATTCTGATAAGTAACAGTGCTCAAAATATCCATATGAAATAGTCACCTGTGAAAATAATATAAAACATTTTATTCCATAATGTGGTAGAGTAAGTGTCAAGCAACGCTCATCGAGAGCACTGGTTTGGCATGCAAAGCCTGCTTGACATATGACTTAGACAGGCTAATTAACTTTGTTAAGCATCGATCCGTTTGACCAGCTTTAGCTTTATCAGTTTAGTGTGGGTTCAGACCAGCTTTAGTGAAGGCATGTGAAGGGTGGTTGATGGTGGTAGTAACAGCCACATGAGGGCTGGACCCGTAGCTGTTCTCTGCCCACATTTCAAACTGGTAGCTTTCTTCGCCACGTTGCTCCACTGCCACCAGAACCTGACCGACGTGTCGTTAAATTACTGTTAACACTTATAAATTAGTATGAACTTTGCTTTTAGATGCACGAATCAAAGTTTACCTTGAGAGAAATAATTTTTGAACAGAAATCAGAGATTTTTCTAACACCAATAATAAGAAAGTATAATTTATAAATCAATCACTAGCTCATTCCACATCCATAATAAAACAGAAATTAAAGATAAGTTCTTATGAGAATATATACAGTACGTTTGTGTACATGATACAAGTATATGAAATATTGCATAACTAATTCATCTCCTGGGACTAATTGTTTCAAGATTTGAAAGAGAAATTCACGAATTTAGTAGACAGCTACACTAGGAGTTTCCTGTGAGACGAGCAGTAGTTACCTGATTTGCAGGCAAAGCATGAGGAAGAACCTTCCACTTGGCTGCCGTGGAGTTCAGTTCCGCACTGTTTGCTCCTGACCAAACATCCACACCCAAAGCACTGGACCAAGCGTCAGAAGCAGCATTGTAGTCTTGGTCAAGTGGTGCAGCATGATCATGTTGTAGAGGCAATACAGGATGCAGCACTGGGCGGTAGCGCAGATGCAGCACCGTGTCAGGAGCAGCAGTGAGGTACATTGGTGAGAAAGGGTTGTGCCAGTGCAGAATTATCACATCATCAGTCTCACTGACAGTTAGGTTTGCAGGAGGAGGTGGGGGTCCTGAAGAGAAAAAAAATTAAAAATTATTGCATGGGTTCAATTTGAAAATGATTAATACCCAAGTGAATCTGTAATTATTAGTTACAAAACTAAAGAATTAGGATGCAATAAGAAGAAATTCATTGATAGGGTAATTGACTAAATAAATTACCATTTAACACAATTATTTATTATTTCATTCGAAAATTAAGAAATTGGACAATAAACCAAAGGTATCATGAATGTATCAACTGATTAAAAACTCTAAGAAAACAAGAACAGAAAATGAGGAGCACCTACTTATCACCAATAATGAGAAATCTCATATAGTATAGCATATATGCAAAACTTAGAATGGTAACTAGAAACAATGAAATATTATTGTAAATAGGTTACCAGGTATGAGGAGGGAATGTTTGACAATTAATGAGTCATCAGCCTCATTGAAGCAGGAGTAGTTGCCACTACTGTTCAGGGTTACAAACGGGATGTGGAGGCTGCCATCAGGTGACAGAATAGGCAGTTGCTTGCCTTCCAGAACACCTGGCCACGTCCAGTACACGCTCTGTAATCAGTCCATAAACTTTTTGATCAACCAGATAACCATTTTTTATTTATATCATTAGTCTGCATTAATTGCTAGATTGCTGAGAATATAGAAACAAAAAAAGACTTGGTTCACATATGACATCAATCCACCCAAGATAACTTTTTTGTCATGCAGCAGTCAGTCATGACTCATGAGAGAATATTAAAAAAAAACATAATAGCACAATTGCTTTCAAAGAACCAGTTGAATATTTAAATACAAGTTAGATAGGTACTTATCAGATTCATTTTATTAGCAGTGGCAAGGGATAGCAGAATTTGTAACAATATGAGGTCATCCAAAATGGGCTTGGTTTAGCTAACATGCTAAATTTAAGTAGAATGGTTGATTTAGAAAATAAATCACACTCTCTGCACCTGGTTTGTTTGTAATTGCAGCTGAGATGAGTGGCATTGGAAGGTTATATTTGCACCAGCAGTGCTGATGAAGGTGTTTGCTGCTGCTGTAGTTTCTGCTGATACCAAGCTGCTGATGGCACAGCCTGTGAACACAATACTCTATCAAGTATTTGAAAATATCCAGCCAAATTCATGCATTGACCTAGCACATTATGTTTTGGTTATTAAACACAAGTGAGAAAAAGGTTTGCTAATTTTCCAAAAAAATTTTGGAGCTTTATAATAAACAAATTTTCACATGTCTCATATGATGACCTCATGTATTCTAGGCCTTAGATTGGCTTAGAACAATGGCTGATAGTTGTAGTCATTGACAACATGGTTGCAATAATGAATGACTCAGTCTGACTGTCTGACAGGATTTATACCTAAAATTAGCTATTGTAATGTAATATCAATAGTTTGGCATATGTGCCTGTGGTTTGGAAATTTTCTTTATGATTGCAAAATTGATAAACCCTGCAAAAAGAATCAAGTACTGGTAGTACCGTAGTAGTTTGGAAGGAACATATTTCCTTATCGTCAGTCTTACTTGCCTACTGTGACAGTGATTAAAACAATAAGAATAGTGTCATTTCTACACAACACATCTGGACAATTTTTTAACATAATTTGTTTGTTATTATGTACACTTATAGGAAAATAAATTCTTTTTGATCAAGCATTTAAAGTAAAATCAGTTTGACAAGAGGCAAGTTATGTGAAGTAGCTGTTGCATGGCAACTTATGTGCCATCAACAATTGATATTTTTCAAACTTGAGTTGAATTAACTTACCACAAGACTGCAAGAGTCACAAATTGACTAAAATTTGAAAACCTAATATTAAGAACTATTGAAATTGGCTTGATAGTAGCTTATATATTCAATTTCAAGTGTAATATCATCCATCCATGCAGACCATGCCAGTGATGCCACTGACATTGGCAGTTGGCACAGCACTTTTGTTTTTGTTTTGAAAGAAACTGTCTGTTGTGTTAACTAAACTGAGGCTAGTACTGAGCCACAGCACTGACAGCAGCACAGCTTTCTAGGTAGTCACTAAAAAGCTTTCTAGCAATCAGAAAAGCTTTTTAGTTATGTGTCTATCGATCATTATAAATTTTAAATCTTAATTATGACTAGTATTTACAGTTTTTACAAACAAGTATAAAGTGGCAAGTAAGGTGCAGTAGTAGCTGCTGAGTGGCAACTTATGTCATTGAAATATGAAGGCAGGTGTGAGGTGACTAAGGTACCTACTGGTATCAGGCGGTATGTGTTGAAAAATGTTAGCTTACCTAGTTACCTATAGCAATAAGATAAATTTTAGTAGGTTCTCTTATAAATAACAAGATATAAAACTAAAAGAAACTAGTAAAAGATTCCATATTTACTCAAATGAGTTCTACAATGAATTAAAACTTTACCTAAACTGAAAAAGAACAAGACCTAACGGCTAACTTACTAATACCATAAAAAATGCTAAAAGGTTACAATTATTGGCAAGTTAAACAAAAAAATAAAATTGTCTCAAGTTTATTGGTCAGCAATGAAATTTATGGTGCCAAAGCAATATAACTGGTAGGTAGTTGTTTGCCACTGAGTGCCACGTACCTACAATGTAACACAAAATAATTGAATACCTACCTACGGTAATCATTTATCGAGAAATTTTGTAGTCCATATCAGGTTATAAACTCACCTACGGCAGTTCCAAACAGTATAAAAATCATGATTGATGTTTCATTCTTCCATACACTAATAGTTCATCTGTTAGCAATCAATTCAATTTAAAAATATCAAATTGATAACACCAATCATGTCGATCTTCGGAGACTTTTGGAGACGAACCATCAAGTGAAAAAAAGAGGGCAGGCTTCAGGGGGGCGTCGACCAACTAAATAAAGACGCCAACTTGAATAACAGGTAAAAAGATCATGTGTCTTTAAAGGAAGAACTATTGAATAGTAAAATTTATATATACTTTAGATACGCATGTGAGTAAAAATATTTTATATAATATTTGTTTTCTTCTCCAAATTTTTACGGCAATAAGGAGTCATTAGTTGATTCCTGTCTATAGGATACACACAAATAATTTATGAATAACGTTAATAATAACTTATTTTTCCACGATTTTTGTTTCTAATATATACTTAAGTGTACTTGGAAAATGTTTTCATATTGCATCTTATTAGGAAGCGAAAGCGTTGGCTAACCTGTGCCTGTGTAAACAAACAAAAAACGATCTTGATAAGGTGACTGATATTGTGAGTCGTGACTGCGGGCATAATCTGAAATTTGTAGGCCGAAGAGTAACGAAATCTAAGGTGAGATGTAAAATTCAAGGTTTCTTCTCTAGGCGTGAGATATTGTGTAGCTAAATTTTAATACTGTGAATGCACGTTAAATCAGTAATATAGGTACAGTTTTTAGTGAATAGCAGGGGGCCAGGGTCAGCCTGTCAGGGAGGTAAGAGCAGTATTTATCTATTCTTTAACTACCTATTCTACTGAGTGGCAAATTATGTACCGTATCATTTATCGTAAACCAAATGTAACATGATATATGAACCATATATTCTAGAATTTATAACTTCTAATTGCTGTCGTATTACTCATATATGAAACCCAGGGCATTATTTATGATTCTACCCTTCTTCTCTTGCAGCTCAATCTTGCAGTTCTATTTTGAATTTTCCAATATGTTAATAATTTGACCCTAAAAATTTTATTTTCATTAACTAGAATAATTTTTGTAAAGAACAAATTTATTTCCTTTAAAGATTAACTTTAAAAATTTATATTTTAATGTTTGAAAAATCACTACTCTTAGATATTACTGAAGAAAGACATTCTCAGTTCATGTGTTTTTTATCAAATTATATAGATTTTACTTACTTTCTATGGGGAGAAAAGTTTGAATGTTGTGAATTATCAGCCCACTTAAACCTAATTGCTATTATATTTTTAGATGGGTTGATAACAGATAACTTCCCAACTTGTGAGACTTATTAACATCAGTTGTATAAATATTAACTGACATCATTCAAATTGTCAAGGACAGTTAAGGCACTTGAGATTGTTAATACATTTGAATACTTTAGTTGACAATCAAGTGAATCAACATCAAGCAATAGTTGTGCATATGGCTTTTTCTTATCTTGTATTACAGCTGTTACAGCTGTAATACAAGATATACAGGTGGAATACAGGGTGGAATTCTAGAAATGGAAGTTCACTTATAAAAAAGCTTTCCACCCAAGGTGGAATTCTTTCCTTAGATACAGTACTCTGCCAAGTGCCAGGTGACTGACTATAAATGAAAAGGAGGATCAAAAGTGGACAAACTGTTTCAATTGCTCAGATTTGTTGTAAAATTGTTTGACAGATATTTTCTATTTTTTTTTATTTAATGGATTTTTTGAAAATTATCCAGGCTTTTAGTTTGTAATGATCAAGTTCAAGTTGAGTATTTAGTTAACCAGTACTGTAGACATATACCATATTTAAGGTCGGGGCTTATGGGCACAACCAATCACAGCTTGAAAGCATCTCCATCAACAAATCACAGCTTGAAAGCATCTCTGTCAACCAATTCACAGCTAGAAAGCAGATAACATTACAATTCCATTAACCAATCACAGCTGGAAAGCTGGAAGGGGCTAAAAAGCCTAAAATCACAATCCCATCAACCAATCACAGCTGGAAAGAAATAGGTTATGTATATGATATGATGGACTGAAAGTGTAAAGTTCCTGGCCTTTCCAAGCTTTCAGGTCCTGCTTTCCAATATGCTATGTGTACTGGTTAATTTAATATCCCTCTAGAATTCCACACTGCAACTGTACTTCACAAATATATTCACTTTATCAAAATTTCATGTAATACTACTGAAGTATTGCACATTGATGATTAATGGTGAGAGGCAACTACTTTTTCTGACAAGTTCATCATTAAATATTGATATTTATCATTAAAAGAGGTTGCTGCAGAGTTTATTTTAAGAAATAAGGCAGTTCATGTATTCATTTTTGCTCTAACTGGGTTCTTAGCTCAAACCAATTATGTCATCTGAGTTTATATAAATAAAAAAGGTCCTGTTTTAGTTTTGTGATCCAATATGCCATTTGTGCCTGATCTTATATATATGAAACTTGCAGCAAATTCTAGGCTCCTTGGAAAGTTTCTAAAATTGTGATAAAACTCAATTTAGAATTTATTTCGTTTTAATTTGCATTGAACTGCAGGAGTGAATAATGAATTTCATAAGCATCATGTCAATTTTAAGAGTTTTTAAGTACAACTGTAAGTTAAGTCAGGGTATAAAACTCTCGAGTTAAAAGTTTTCAAATATAACTATAATGTATTGTGTTGTAACTTGTATCTGCTGACCACAACTGAGTTTTCTGTAATGAAAGGTCTATAAATTCATCTGCTGCTAATGCTAAGCAGGCAGCAGGATGCAAGTACCCACTGTCCAGAAATTAATCACTATAAATTAAATGACCTTATATACGTATGCTGGTATGATATATCTTATTTTTTTTTTACTAATAACTAAGCAATGCATTTCTAATTGTAAATTTAATTTTAAACTAAATGATGTTGTAGACTATACATAATCCTTTTGTCTGGTCTGCATTGTTTGCCTTGGAACATATTGAATGGTGAATGGTCGACACATTGATGCAAACCATTTCCATTATGATACTCTGCCATGTGTTTGGAATTGTTTGACAAGATATGCTTTAAACTTGTTAAGTTCTCGGTGAGTGAGTGGGAAGAAGCCTCTCACAGTGCAGCTGCCTATAAGGCTTCAGATCTGCTGCCACTTCAATTTATTTATTGGTTGTTGTGGTGCTTGTTGCTTATTGTAAAATGTCTGTAGCTTATTGTAACACATTTCTAGCTTATTGTAACATGTTTATAGCTTATTGTAACATGTCTGTAGCTTATTGTAACCTCTTTGTAGCTTGTGTAACATGTTTATAGCTCATTGTAACATGTTTATAACTTATTGTTACATGTTAGTAGCTTATTGTAAAATATTGTAGCTCATTGTAATATTTTTATAGCTCATTGTAACATGTTTGTAGCTTATTGTAACATATTTGTAGCTTATTGTAACATGCTTGTAGCTTATTGTAACATGTTTGTAGCTTGATGTGACATGTTTATAGCTCATTGTAACATGTTTGTAGCTTATTGTAACATTTATAGCTCATTGTAACATGTTTGTAGCTTATTGTAACATATTTGTAGCTTATTGTAACATGCTTGTAGCTTATTGTAACATGTTTGTAGCTTGATGTGACATGTTTATAGCTCATTGTAACATGTTTGTAGCTTATTGTAACATCTTTGTAGCTTATTGTAACATATTTATAGCTAATTGTAACATGTTTATAGCTTATTGTTACACATTAGTAGCTTATTGTAAGATGTTTGTAGCTCATTGTAACATGCTTATTGATCATTGTAACATGTTTGTAGCTTATTGTAACATGTTTATATCTCATTGTAACACGTTTATAGCTCATTGTAACACGTTTGTAGCTTATGGTAACATGTTTGTAGCTCATTGCAACATGTCTTTGGCTGATTGTAACATGTCTGTAACTTAATGTAACATGTTTGTAGCTCATTGCAACATGTCTGTGGCTTATTGTAACATGTATTTAACTTATTGTAACATGTTTGTAGCTTATTGTAGCATGTTTGTAGCTTATTGTAACCTCTTTGTAGCTTATTGTAACATGTTTATAGCTCATTGTAACATGTTTGTAGCTCATTGTAACATGTTTGTAGCTTATTGTAACATGTTTGTAGCTTATTATTGTAACATGTTTGTATCTTATTGTAACATGTTTGTAGCTTATTGTAACATGTTTGTATCTTTTTGTAACATGCTTGTAGCTTATTGTAACATGTTTGTAGCTTATTTTAACATGTTTGTATCTTATTGTAACATGTTTGTAGCTTATTGTAACTGGTTTGTAGCATATTGTAACTGGTTTGTATCTCATTGTAGTATGTTTATAGCTTATTGTAACATGTTTGTAGCATATTGTAACATGTTTGTAGCATATTGTAACATGTTTGTAGCTTATTGTAACATGTTTGTAGCTCATTGTAACATGTTTGTAGCTTATTGTAACATGTTTGTAGCTTATTGTAACATCTTTGTAGCTCATTGTAACATTTTTGTAGCTCATTGTAACTTGTTTGTAACTTATTGTAACATGTTTGTAGCATATTTTGACATGTTTGCAGCTCATTGTAACATGTTTGTAGTTCATTGTAACATTTTTGTTTGTACCTCATTGCAACATCTTTGTAGCTCATTGTAACTTGTTTGTAACTTATTGTAACATGTTTGTAGAATATTTTGACATGTTTGCAGCTCATTGTAACATGTTTGTAGCTCATTGTAACATGTTTGTAGCATATTGTAACATATTTGCAGCTCATTGTAACATGTCTGTAGCTTATTGTATGTGTTTGTAGCATATTGTAACATGTTTGCAGCTCATTGTAACATGTTTGCAGCTCATTGTAACATGTTTGCAGCTCATTGTAACATGTTTGCAGCTCATTGTAACATGTTTGCAGCTCATTGAAACATGTTTGTGGCTCGAAATCCCAACAAGTCATGCTGACCAGACGGCTTCCATCCCAGATTGCTCAAAGAATTAGCAACCGTTCTGGCCGGCCCATTGACAGTATTCTTTAAAAAAAACCTTGAACGAAGGAACTTTGCCGTCCGACTGGATAGAAGCTCAAGTAACACAACTGTTCAAAAAGGGTGTCAAAAGTGGCCCCGGTAACTATCGCCCTGTCATTCTGACAAGTATTTTTTGTAAGGTGATGGAATCTGTTTTGAGGGATAGGATTATCGATCACTTGACTGTTGACATCTCCTATCAGATAGTCAACAGGGTTTATTGCCGGTAGATCCTGCACCACTATCTTATTATCTACGTTGAACGATTGGACTCGCCTGCTGGACGAAAGGGAGCCAGTGGATGCATTGTACCTCGATTTTGCCAAAGCATTTGACAGAGTTCCGCATGAGCGGCTAAAGTGAAGTCTTTGGGAATTGAGGGAAATGTACTCCAATGGATCAGAGATTTTCTAGTAGGTAGACGACAACGTGTCAGTATTAACGGAACCGTGTCAGACTGGGCATCAGTGCGCAGCGGCGTGCCACAAGGAAGCGTTCTTGGGCCTATTTTAGTCGTTGCTTTTATAAACGATTTGCCTGAAGCAGTGTCCTGTGTGTGCTCCATGTATGCCGACGACACAAAAGTTTATAATACGCTGATGGA